AAGGAAGGAAAGAAAGAAAGAAGGAAGGAAGGAAGAAAGGAAGGAAGGAAGGAAGGAAGGAAGGAAAGAAAGAAGGAAGGAAGGGAGATAGATGATATATAGAGAAGGAAGGAAGGGGATGTAAAGAGAAAGAACTGAGAAGCAGGAAGGAAGGAAGGAAGGGAGAAAGGAAGGAATGAAGGAAAAGAGGGAGGGAGGGAGGGTATGAGAGGGGGAAAGGAGGGAGGGAGGGAGGAGCTAGGGGAAGGATAAGAGAAGGAGGAAAAGAAGGTCAAGAAGGATATTCAGCAAAAAGAACAGAAGGAGGAACTTGAACAAAAGGACAACCCCAGCCCAAACCCCCGAAGCTTGAAAGAAAGAGAGAGAGGGAAAGAAAGAGAGAGAGGGAAAGAAAGACAGAAACAAAAGAACAGGACAGGGAAGGGTTAACACTCCCATCTTTAACATACCAGGTACAGTAAACCATTATCCACAGCCCTTTTCCCAACCCAGCATCCCAAGAGGTCACGGGCTGTGTCAAAGCACTTGGGTAGCCGGAAATTGTCAAGGACAAAACGAAGGGACCTGGAAGGTCCACCAAGAAAGGTGGAGAGGTCCTCCTGGCCCATTGCTCCATCACCAACATCTCTGGTTGGGGAGATTGGCTGATTTAAATCACCCCGAGGTGGCTAGTCCATAAGGATCCAAGATCTTACGGTTAGTCCTTCACTCACCGCAACCGTTTCGTCGCTAAGCAAAACCTTGCTGGAGTCAACTCTGCTCCACTTTACGACCTTCCTTGCCACAGTTACGGGCCTTCCTCAACTTATTTAGTGACCGTCCAGCAAAAAGGAGCAAATTGTGGCCGTTTTTCACGCTTAATGACCATTTCAGCATTCCCTCAGGGGATCAAAATAAACAAACGCTTGGCAACGGACTCATATTTATGACGGTTAGACTGTCCCTGGGGTCACCTGATCCCTCTTTTGCGACCGTCTGACAATCAGAGCCCACGGGGGGAAGCCGGATTCGCTTAACGACCGTGTGACTAACTTGAGAGTTCCAGCCATTTGCTTAATGAGGGTGGCAAGGAAGGTTGTAAAACGGGCCAAAAAGTCACTGGACAAAAATCTCACTGAGCCACAGAAATTGTGGTCGTAAGTATGAGGTGAATTGCTGGGGTTCTTAAGTAAGCCACCCGGTCGTTAAGCGAATCTCGCTTCCCCCATTGATATCGCTTGCCAGAAGGTCGCAAAAGGGGATCGCGGAACCCCCGGGGACACGGCGACCATCATAAACGCGAGTCGGTTGCCAAGGGTCTGAGTTTTGATCGCCGTGACCCCGGGGGGGGGGCATGCTGCCATGGTCGTTAAGTGTGAAAAATGGTCGTAAGTCGCTTTTTTCAGCATTATTGCCACTTTGAACGGTCATTAAATGAATGTTGTAAGTTGAGAGACGACTGGTACCCCAGTAGGAACAACATTAGCATCTGTCCAGAATTCAATTTGCTACTGAAATTGGTGTGTGTGTGTGTGTGTGTGTGTGTGTGGGTGGGTGTGGGTGTGTGTGTTTGTGTGTGAAATTTCAGTTCAGTCTAAAAGGGAGACAACATTTTGTCCTCAAAATTCTGCATCAAAGGAAAACAAGAAGGAATGAGCTGTGGCGCTCAGGACGTGGCAAACGCAAATCCCGGTAGGCCTCAGCTTACGACGGTTTGCTTAGTGACCGTTTGAAATGATGACGGCATGGGAAAAAGTGACTTGTGACCGTTTGGCACCCTTACGACCGTTGACGCGTTGCCCCCCCCCCCCCCGTGGTCACGTGATCAGAATTCACATGCTTGGCCATTGACTCGTATTTACGATGGTAGCAGTGTCCTGGGATGCGCGCGTGCGTGCGTGTGTGTGTGTGTGTGTGTGTGTATGTGTGTGTCATGCCATCCCCTTTTCGCGACGTTCTGACAAGCGAAGCCAGATTTCCTTCATGATGACTTGTTTAACAACAGCACCCATTCAAAGGAAACTTTGATTTGGGGTTTTACTGATTAGATGGATTTGTTGTTACAGAAATGGCTAGGTTTATACTATTCTGGAAAAGTAAAAAAAGTTGAGGTTTGGTGTTAATGCTTCATTCTACTGAAATAGAGGAAGGGTTTCTATAAGGTTGCCTGCTTGAGCAGGGGGTTGGACTAGAGGACCTCTAAGGCCCCTTCCAACTATTGTTATTGTTATTGCTGCTGCTGCTGTTGTTGTTATTGTTATTATTATTATTAATGCTTTATTCTACTGAAATAGAGGAAGGGTTTCTATAGGGTTGCCTGCCTGAGCAGGGGGAGTGGACTAGAAGACCTCCATGGCCCCTTCCAACTCTATTATTATTATTATTATTGTTATTGCTGCTGCTGTTATTGTTGGTGTTGTTATTATTATTATTATTAATGCTTTATTCTACTGAAATAGAGGAAGGGTTTCTATAGGGTTTCTTGCCTGAGCAGGGGGAGTGGACTAGAAGACCTCCATGGCCCCTTCCAACTGTATTATTATTATTGTTGTTATTGCTGCTGCTGCTGTTGTTATTATTATTATATAACAGCAGCAGCAATAATAACAATAAGAATGACAATGAAAATAACAACAATAACAATAACAATAATAACAATAACAACAATAATAATAACAATAATAATAATAATAATAATAATAATAGAGCTGGGAGGGACCTTGGAGGTCATCTAGTCCAGGGCTTTTCAACCTTTTCACCCATTGTACCACTTTTAGGATATGGCAACATCCAAGTACCACCAGTCGCCTAGCAAGGTGTCAAAAACTTGATGACCAAAAAAAAAAAAAAAAAAAGGAAAAAAGTACAGGTAGTCCTCGACTTACAACAGTTCACTTAGTGACTGTTCAAAGTTACAATGGCAGTGAAAAAAGTGCCCCCCAAGGCACAGCCAAGCAAGACACCTGCCTGCCCGCCCGGCTGCGCTCTTCCTCCTGTCCGAGGTTTCCATTGTTGTGAGCATTTTTGTTGAGGATTGGCAGCGGGGGCTGGGTGGAGGGGGTTGGTTTTTTATTCCCCCCGTCTGCTGGGTGGTTGCAGCAGGTTTTGGTCACTTCACATGACCCTGGGACACTGTGACCGTCATAAATATGAATCAGTTGCCAAGCATCTGAATGTAAATCACAAGACCCTGGAGAGCTGCAACATTCCACCTAATCGGCGCTTCTTCTGGGCTCAGCAGAAGTGCCAGGGTCAGCGCCAAGCTCCAGGCTGAGCCCTGACAGCCCCAAAGAAGCACCAATCAGCTGGAAAGCGGCACTGATCCTGGTGCTTCTGCTGAGCCCTGACAGCCCTGCAGCTCCAGCCATCTCTCACTCAGGCTTGTGCGGTGCTGCCACTGGTTCAGCTCATTCCCCTCCCCCACTACCACTTTTCTAGGATGGTCGCATACCACCTGCCAGGTGCCAATGTACCACAGGTGGTACCCGTACCACTGGTTGAAAAGCCCTGTTCTATAGGGTTTCCTGCCTGAGCAGGGGGTTGGACTAGAAGACCTCCAAGGTCCCTTCCAGCTCTATTATTATTATTGTCATTGCTGCTGCTGCTATTGTTGTTATTATTATTATATAATAGCAGCAATAACAATAATAATAATAATAGTTGGAAGGGACCTTGGAGGTCTTCTAGTCCAACCCGCTGCTCAGGTAGGAAACCCTATAGAAACCCTTCCCCTATTTCAGTAGAATAAAGCATTAATATCAAATCTCGACTTTTTAAAAAACTTTTCCATTATTATTATTATTATTATTACTACTACTACTACTACTACTACTACTATTACTATTATTATTATGTCAGAAGTCTATGTCTTTTTTTTCACTTTCCTTTCCCTTTTCCCCTCCCCACTGTGTCCTTCACTTGGCTTTTGTATTTTAGTTGCATTTTATTCTACTGTACAATCTAATAAAATGTTTAAAAAATGAAAAAAACAAAAACAAAACCCAACTGAGTGATTTGCTTAACCATGGCGGCAAGAAAGGTCATAAAACGAGGCGAACTCCAAACTTAACCAATGTTTCACTTGGCAAACGAAACCGTTGGGTTCAACTGTGGTCATAAGGAGAGGACAACCTGCGCATCGCATTTGGCACGGTGCCATGCCTCGTTTACACCTCTGGGTAGGCTTGCCTCCGAAATTCACGCCTTCCTTACTTTCCAACGCAGTTTGGAAAAAACTCCAGGCTGAAGTTCACCAATTCCGTCACCAGCAATGACACAGCTCTTAACCCCCATCAGACACCGCCACGTTCTCCACGGATGACACACCCACAAGTTCGTTTGCACATTGAAAAGCACAACTTTGAAACAGGTTCACAAGCGAGCGAAGAAATTAACGTAAAGGGAAGCCATTAAAAAAAAAAAAAAACTCCCTCCCATTTCCCCTAAGATTCTGCATTTCCAGCATCTCTTCAGCACAGTCGATAACCAGCGAAAGCAGGATTTAATTTAAAGTTTGGGGCCATGTTTTAAGATCAGAGCAATGCCCATAAAGCCAGGGCAGAGCTATGTGCCTTTGGAAACAATGGTCAGTACTGGGATGAGCTGGAGGACCCAGTTTGAATCTGCACGTTCAAATCTGCCTTGGTTCCTCTTCCTCTTGTCTCCCCGTTTAACAGGAAGGGATTTGCACATTTATATTAAGATCGTGGCATGGGTGCGTCGCAGAAGATACGACAGGATTAAGTGGAACATGGAATTGACTTAACTTAAATAGCACCAACGATTCATTGAATCATGTTCAGAAGAAACTTCCCGGATTTGGAGTTGATTCCAGGGAAGAAACCTCAGATGCCTTGGTTGACCTTGGGAAGTCCTGAAGATGCATTTTCATGTTTTAAAGCATGATGACCTGTGGACTTCAACTCCCAGAATTAGTAGTGTCACTCCGTGCTCTTTCCAGGCCACAAGTCAGAAGAAGACGCCCAGAAGGCTGATTGAAGCTTTTTTTTTTTTCTCTCCCCAAACCACCATTTTTTTTCTCGCCGTAATATTCCTGCTGGTTATCGAAAGTGACTTTGCAAAACATCTATCTTATAGATATATAGATATATAGATATTGCTTGCTTTTCTTAGAGGAAGGATTGATAGAACGCCTACCCTGCCCGCTCCTTCAGTTTCTTATCTGTTATTCCATCTTTGGATACAAGTTTGTTAAACACCAGAATCCCAATAACCATGTTTACCTGTTGGAAGAGAAACAAGAGAAAGGTTGACTTGGAAAGCTGAACGGGTTTGATGCACCCATTCAAGCAGGGGTCTTCCAACGTGGCCCGTTGATGACTTGTGGACTTCAACTCCCAGAATTCCTCAGCCAGGCACGCGTGCCTGGCTGAGGAATTCTGGGAGTTGAAGTCCACAAGTCATCAACGGGCCAAGTTGGAAGACCCCTGCATTAAAGTCCTCCAGATCTTCCCCAGCTGCTAGTCTAAGCTCTGCTGGAGAAGACATCTGAGTCCCAGCCGGGTTTTTAGCAAGGTCAACTGTCCTGAACCATTTTTTGCATCTCAGCATCATTTTGTGCAATGAATGTTTGGGGTCTGAGACAGCAAACATTGGAGGCCAACCATTTTTCGGGAGGGTTCCAAAGAATATTAATTGGCAGATAAACTGTGCGTGTGTTTGTGTGTGGTGTATTTCTTTGGGTAAAAAGAGATTTTTTGCATCTGGCTAACTTCGCTCTGCCCTAGAACAGGGATGTCCAAGCATTGTGACTTTCAAGACTTGTGGATTTCTACTTGTGCACAAGCCACTTGTCTGAAGTTGTACAAGTTCTGCTTGAGCAGGGGGCTGGACTAGAAGACCTCCAAGGCCCCTTCCAGATTCTATTCTATTCTGTTCTGTTCTGTAATTCTATTCTATTCTATTCTATTCTATTCTATTCTATTCTATTCTATTCTATTCTATTCTATTCTATTCTATTCTGTAATTCTATTCTATTCTATTCTATTCTATTCTATTCTATTCTATTCTATTCTATATTTTATTATTCTATTCTATTCTACTCTATTCTGTAATTCTATTCTATATTCTATATTCTATATTCTATTCTATATTCTATATTCTATTCTATTCTATTCTATTCTATTCTATTCTATTCTATTCTATTCTATTCTATTCTATTCTATTCTATTCTATTCTATTCTATTCTATATTTTATTATTCTATTCTATATTCTACTGCCCAAAACATGTATCCATCAGCCACACTGTTCTAAATTCTAAAATTTAAATTTAAAAAGATTTCACTGCGGATGGGTGAAATCAGATGACAGATTAACAGAGCTGGAAGGGGCCATGGAGGTCTTCTAGTCCAGTCCCTTGTTCAAGCAGGAGACCCTATACCATTTCAGACAAATGGTTGTCTAATATCTGCTTAAAAACCTCTAGTGATGGAGCATCCAGAATTTCTGGAGGCAGGTTGTTCCACTGGTTAATTGTTCTCATTATCAGGAAATTTCTCCTTAATTCTAGGTTAGATCTTTCCTTGATGGGTTTCCATCCGTTGCTTCTTGTCCTGCCTTCAGGAGCTTTGGAGGATAGGTTGACCCCCTCTTCTCCGTGAAAACTCTTCAAATATTGGAAGTCTGCTATCATGTCATTTCTAGTCCTTCTCTTAGTTAGAGTAGATCAGGGGTAGGCAACCTTGGCTCTTTTATGACTCGTGGACTTCAAGTTCAAGTTCACCTTCAGCTCAGGAATTCTGGGAGTTGAAGTCCGTGAGTCATAAAAGAGACAAGGTTGCCTACTCCTGGTCTAGGAGGCTCACCGCTTAGAGCAGGAGGACTTAGGACAGGGGTAGGCAACCTTGGCTCTTTTATGACTTGTGGACTTCAACTCCCAGAATTCCTGAGCCAGCCATGCTGAGGGGAAAGGGGGAGATTTCCAAGCTGAGCCAGGCTGGCTCAGGAATTCTGGGAGTTGAAGTCCACGAGTGATAAAGCGGCCTAGGCCAGAGGTAGGCAACCTTGGCACTTTTATGACTCGTGGACTTCAACTCCCAGAATTCCTGAGCCAGCGTGGCTCAGCATGGAAACCTCTCCCTTTCCCCTCAGCATGGCTGGCTCAGGAATTCTGGGAGTTGAAGTCCACAAGTCATAAAAGAGCCAAGTTTGCCTACCCCTGGAGTAGACCTTCCCAGTTCCGGCAACCATTCTCCGTATGGTTTAGCCTCCAGCCCCCTAATCATCTTTGATGCTCTTCTCTGCTCTCTTTCTCTTCTTAACCCACCCCACTTAAAAAACAACAACACACAATCCAATTTTTCCTACAAATTTAACCATGAATTTGGCGTTTTTCCGTTCTGAATTAACTCAGAATTTTTAAAAATGGCCTTAGTTGAAGAACTTCCACACTCCATTGGGGCTTAGTTCGTCTTGAGAGCAAAGCAAAGATCCTAAAACCTGGGCTTTGTAACTTCTGCAAGCATGATAATGGAGGGGGGAAATTTAGAAGGGGGGGGGAATCATATACCAAAACCACAGCAGCTGCTGGTCCCACGAAGGCATAAAGTAGACCACCTTCCAAAGACAGCCAGCAGCTAGGCAAGGAAGAAGAAAAAGAGAATTTAGCACATGCAAAGAAAAATGGTGGCACTCAAAGAGTTTTTCCTCCCGAGATGCAAGAAAACTGGCTAGAGAATAAGTGAATAAGAGAATAAGTGATTATTCTACCAAATCTGAATTACTCCTATTTCTGGACAGAAAAGGGAAAGGAGGAATTGCTTACTCACTAGTTCCCGGTGCCGTAGCCCTTGGCTTTAGTAAACCCCACAGAGATAGCAACCACCAAGGCTGGGAGACCTAGAGAGAATCAGTTAAAATGTCGTGAGACACACACACACACACACACACAGAAAATAGTTGCACCAAGATTTATTAAAGCAGAAACAAAAATTGCCTTGAGGAACAAGAATCTCTCCCTCCTGTCTACTCTTCTAAATCCATTGTGCCCCTTCTTAGTATGGATGTAGAATAGAATAGAATAGAATAGAATAGAATAGAATAGAATAGAATAGAATAGAATAGAATAGAATAGAATAGAATAGAATAGAATAGAATGGAATGGAATGGAATGGAATGGAATGGAATGGAAGGGAAGGGAAGGGAAGGGAAGGGAAGGGAAGGGAAGGGAAGGGAAGGGAAGGGGAGAGGAGAGGAGAGGAGATATGGAATGGAGTGGAGTGGTGTGGAAGGAATAGAATAGAATAGAATAGAATAGAATAGAATAGAATAGAATAGAATAGAATAGAATAGAATAGAATAGAATAGAATAGAATGGAATGGAATGGAATGGAATGGAATGGAATGGAAGGGAAGGGAAGGGAAGGGAAGGGAAGGGAAGGGAAGGGAAGGGAAGGGAAGGGGAGAGGAGAGGAGAGGAGATATGGAATGGAGTGGAGTGGTGTGGAAGGGAATGGAATAAGAATAGAATAGAATAGAATAGAATAGAATAGAATAGAATAGAATAGAATAGAATAGAATAGAATAGAATAGAATAGAATAGAATAATAGGAATTGAATGGAACGGAATGAAACAGAACAGAATAAGGAATAGAATAAGGAATAGAATAGAATAGAATAGAATAGAATAGAATAGAATAGAATAGAATAGAATAGAAGGGACCTTAGAGGTCTTCTAGTCCAGCCCCTGCTCAAGCAGCAGGACCTATACCATCTCAGACAGGTGATTGTCCAGTCTCTTCTTGAAAATTTCCAGTGATGGAGCGCCCACAATTTGTAGCCTAGTCTTATTCAGAATTATTTAGAATCAGGTTCTGCGGTTCTAAAAATTGCCATTTTTTCCCCTGTCTAATCTCTTTACTTTCTTCCTACCCAGAGCCCAGCTCTTTATCAGCATGTCGTTCAACGAGACTTTAAATAAAAGCCTCTTGGCCAGAGGCAAATTAACTACCCTGGTGAATCTGGCAGCTGTCTTGCTGGCCGAGCTCTGAAGGATATTAAATGACAATTAAGCCAGGATTACACGAGGTAAGACCAAGAGTAAATAAATTACAATCCTTTCGTTCAATACAGCCAGGCAACGGTAAACAGTGAGAGTCTCTGGAGAGGGAAAACATTGATTTAGCTGGCTTCTCCGTTAGAACGAGCAGAATGTGTGGAAATCCGTTGCGATGGTCCCACATCACCCTGCAGGTGGAAAGGAATTTCCCATTTTTTTCCAAAAACCATAACAATCATCCACAACACAAACTGTCATATCCTTTCATACATCCAGGAGACTGTAACAGAATGACAGAGTTGGAAGGTACCTGGGAGGTCATCTAGTCCAACCCCCTGCTCAGGGAGGAGACTCTGTACCCAGTGGTGGTGATTCAAATATGTGAACAACCGGTTCTCTGTGTGGATGCCACTTCTGGAAGTCCGTTCTGGGCCTGGCACACAAAAAATTAGCTACCGAACTGGTGCGAACTGGCTGAATCCATCCACTGCTTCTACCATCCCAGTCAAATGGTTGTCCAATCTCTTTTTAAAAACTTCCAGTGGTGGAGCATTCACAACTTCTAGTGGCAAGCTGATCCACTGGTTAATTGTCCTCACTGCCAGGAAATTTCTGCTTAGTTCTAGGTTGCTTCTCTCCTTGTTTAGTGTCTATCTGTTACTTCTTCTCCTGCTTTCAACTGTTTTGGAGAATGGGTTGATTCCCCCCCCCCATCTTCTTTTTGACAGCCCTCAGAGTTGGAGGACTGCTATATGTTCCCTTTAGGAACATGTAGAAAGAGTACAGAGACTCTAGAACAGTGGTTCTCAACCTGTGGGTCAGGACCCCATTTGGGGTCGAAAGACCATTTCACGGGGGTCGCCAAACAACGCAGTCCGCCATTTTTTCCACCTTTTCCTTAGCTGTGCTCAATAGACTCTCTTGAATAGAGAGTCTCTGCCCTGCTGAGCCCGCCAAAAGTCCCCTTCTGCAAACGGTGCTGCACCAGTTGAGTAGTCCTCGACTTACGACCGGTTAAGTAGTCCTCGACATACGACCGGTTGGGGGATCGCGGCATTAAAAAGGTTGAGAACCACTGCTCTAGAAAGAGTACAGAGAAGAGCAACAAAGATGATCAGGGGACTGGAGGCTAAAACATATAAGGAATGGTTGCTGGAATTGGGTCTGTCTATTCTAATGAAGAGAAGGATGAGGGAGGACATGATAGCAGTCTTCCGGTATCTCAGGGGCTGCCCCAAAGAAGAGGAAGTCAAGCTATTCTCCAAGGTGCCTGCAGGCAGGACAAGAAGCAACGGATGGAAACTAATCAAGGAGAGAAGCAACCTGGAACTAAGGAGAAACTTCCTGACAGTGAGGACAATTAACCAGTGGGACAACCTGCCTCCAGAAGCGGTGAATGCTCCAACTCTGGAACTTTTAAAGAAGAGACTGGACAGCCATTTGTCTGAAATGGTGTAGGATTTCCTGCCTGAGCAGAGAGTTGGATTAGATGACCTCCAAGGTCCTTTCCAACTTTTTATTATTATTATGGATCATTGCACAGTCAGCCAGATGTTCAGACTGGATTTGGCATTTTGTCTACCTATCGAGTCCTTACCCAGGACCTGGGATAGGCAGATCTGGATGTTTGATGGTATTACAGGTATCGTCGCAGGATGGAAGCAGTTCCTAATAAGGCCGCCTTTTGCAATTGACTAATAGCGAATTTGTCAATGCCAATGGTGTTCAAGTGGTGCTCCAATTATTTTGGGATTGCACCCAAGGCACTTATTATTATTATTATTGTTGTTGTTGTTGTCGTTGTCATCATCATCACCATCATCATCATCATCATCATTAGGAGGCCAAGTCACCAGCTCTGTTCAAGTTTGCACAAACTGTTTGAAACCTCACCAGCTCTTCAAACCTCATACGAAAAAAATGAATCCTCCCTGATAATTTTGCGACAGAATATCAACATCTGGACTACTGCAACGCGCTCTACATGGGGCTACCCTTGAAAAGTATTCGGAGACTACAGTTGGTCCAGAATGCAGCCGCACGAGTGATAGTGGGTGCTCCTCGATACACCCACGTTACACCTATCCTCCGTGAGCTGCACTGGTTGCCTATTGGTCTCCGGGTCCAATTCAAGGTGTTGGTCATTACCTTTAAAGCCCTATATGGCTCAGGGCCAGGCTATTTGCGAGACCGCCTACTACTCATAGTTCCCTACGTCCGGTTAGATCCCACAGGCTGGGCCTCCTTCAGGCCCCGTCGGCCAAGCAGTGCCATTTGGCGGGGCCGCGGAGGAGGGCCTTCTCTGTGATGGCGCCCACGCTTTGGAACCAGCTCCCCCCAGAGATTAGGACCGCTCCCACCCTGTTGGTCTTCCGTAAGCTACTTAAGACCTGGCTTTTCCGGCAGGCCTGGGGTTTATAAAATCTGACCCCTGGATGACTGTCTTTGCATTGTTTGTTTTGTTATGTTTTATGTGTTTTTTATTGTTAGCCACCCAAAGTCCTTCGGGAGTGGGGTGGCTTATAAATTTTAAAAATAAAATAAAAATAAATAAATCTTATAAAATCTCACAGGAGATTAAGCAACATCCCCGAATCCTGAGAAGTTTGCCTAAGGTCTCCAGAGATCTTCTCCAAAAACGCTCCATGCCCAGAAGATTTAGAGCAGTGTACATTTTTAATATTGATATCCGAAAACACAGATAACCCTGGACTTATGAGCCCAAAATTTCTCTTGATAAGCGAGACGGTTGGTAAGTGAATTCTGCCCCATTTTACGCTCTTTCTCACCACTGTTGTTAAGTGAATCACTGCAGTTATTAAGGTAGTGACCAGGTTGTTAAGTGAATCGGGCTTCCCCATTGATTTTGCTTGTCAAGAAGGTCACAAAAGCGGGTCACGTGACTCTGGGGACGCTGCAACTGTCCTGCAGTTGTCAAGCACGTGGATTGTCTTCAAGTAATTGTGGCAACGCTGCGACGGTCATAGTGTGAAAAATGGTCATAGGTCACTTTTTTCCGTGACGTTGTAACTTCGAACAGTCACGAAATGAATAGTTGAAGTTAAGGACTATCTGAATGGAAGGAATTTAGGAGCTGCTTGGAAGGTGTAACATCTGAATAATTTAGAAAAAAGTTTGGCCAAGTGGATCTAGGGCCTTTTGGTTGAACTGGAACCATGCTTGTGTTTTATAAAGTAAACATAAATAATATTTGGGAAATAATGCTTGTTTATGAGTTGGAATCCTGAGGAAGAGATGTGGTCTCTTGTTGATTGGCCCAAAGTCACTCAACTGGCCTTTATGCCTAAGCCAGGACTAGAACTCAAGATCTCTTACTTTGTAGCCTGGTGCAGTGTCCCGGAATCACATGATCCCCTTTTGCGATCTTCTGACAAGCAAAGTCAGAAGATCGGATGCTAACATTGGATGTTTTTGCATTGACAACAAATGGAATTGTAGCCATCTTTTACCCTTTGAGTTAGAGTTAGATGATGCTGGGAGGGGGGCTGTGAATGAGAGTCTAGCTAGACATAACAACACTAAGCTTAGCGTGAGAATCAAGGTTATCGAGACCAGAGCTGATAAAGAATTGGCGGGCTGGAAAACTGGAGAGGAAGCCCGTGCTTCAAGCTAATTGGGGAATGTGATTTATGACTGTTAATTGGAGGAGGGAATTGTGCTTTAATATTAGGTGCCCAGGGGAGGGGAATTCAGATTTTGGCTTCGACTATGTTAGTGCCAATGCTATGCTATTCAAATAAAGATTCTTTAAGGTAAACAATGCCTCGAAGTTCTTTTCAAGAGTTTCATCTGTCGGAACCATGACAGTCGGTATGGAAGACAGATTCACTTAATAACCATGTTAATAAATTAATAACGGCAGTAATTCACTTAACAATTGTAGCGAGAAATGTCGTAACACAGGGCAAAATTCCTTGAACAACTGCCTCACTTAGCAACAGAAATGTTGGATTCAATTGTGGTCGTAAGTTTGAGGACTGCCTATAACATAGGTCTACCAATCCAGCCATGCCAAGGTTGGGAATGATCATTGTTTTATTGCAGATGGCCCTGGAATTTACCAGCACCAACCAAGAGATGTTGGTCACCAGTCCTTGGATCCAGGAATGAATCAGAGGGTTCAGAAGAGAAGGATAAGACTGAATTGCTACTTTCCTTTGCTCCATTCGTTTCTGGATGCATCTCTCCTTTTTATCACAACATTCCACATCAACTCTCCCCATCAAGTCTAAAAAGAGGGCATCTGGCTTCAAGTTACTATTGACAAGAATCTTCCTCAAGATGGAATGGGACCACTGGTCACAGCTGACTCACGGCGATAAACTTGCTGTTGGACAATTCCTTGTGGGCAGTGATGGGATTCAAATAGGTGAACAACCAGTTCTCTGCATGGATGTCACTTCCGGAAGTCCGTTCTGGGCCTAGGCAACAAAAAATTAGCTACCAGTTCTACTGAACTGGTGCGAACCGGCTGAATCCCACCACTGCCTGTGGGACAATTCAATGTGGAATAGCTCAAGAGAGGGACAAGTGATTTGCAGCAGGCTTTGTCTTCATCTTTTTGGTTTCAACCTTCTCAAGTTAGAAGACCTAGAAATTAGAAGATCCCTTGTCCTTCTCTTGAGTTATCCTGTGTTGAATTGTCCTACAGGGAGTTGTCCCACAGTGAATTGACTGCAGTGAGTTGTCCTACAGGGAGTTGGCTGGGCTGTGTTCTGTCTCAGCCTACACATGTCCTTGTTACTTCACAAAGACAACCCCTCTTTTAACAGTAGACTGGAAAATAAACCCTTTTTATTTGAGTTACAGACCTGATAATTGTCCCAGAAAACAAAAGTAACAGAACACTTTTTCCAATGGAGACCTTGTCTAAAAGCAAAATGGAGTACGAGTGAAACAGGAAATAACTCATAGGCAAAATAAACAGACCATGATCTCTTGACACTGAAGTTCTTTGCAAATGGTTGCCTCCAGCAACCAGCCCTGCCCACACATTCCCTTTTTGTTACGCAGCCCCCAAGACATGGCTTCTCACTGCTTTCTCCTCTTCCCCTGGAGTCGACCCATTGCCTCCCTCTGTCCTACTCGTGTGACCTGTCTACATTTATGAGCGTCTCTGAGATCTTCCAGCTGTGTTTCCTCTGAGTCCGACTCAGCTTCCCAGCACAACTAGCTTGATCATGAGTGGAAGGACCAGCCTCTTCATTAGTTTGTAAATCCTGCAGCTCATCAGAGCCTCCCTTTGACTCTGATGGCTCTCTAGGCCCCTCCTCCTCCTCTTCCTCCTCTGATTCCCCGACTCAACTACCGGGATGGCACGGAATCACAACAGGCTGAGTCAGCCATGGCGAGTTGTACTAGACCAGGGGCCTTCAAACTTGGCCCTTTTATGACGTGCCTGGCTGAGGAATTCTGGGAGTTGAACTCCACAACTCATAAAAGGGCTAAGTTTGAAGACCCCTGCCCTAGACCCTCTTCAAAATCATCCTTCTCCCACTTCATCCTTCCAACCTTAACCACCTCCTCCTCTAAGATATCTAAATCGGTATTTCTCTATATCAGTCTTATCTAAATGAAAGAGTGGGAAGGTAGACAGTGAAAATATATATTGGTCCACCATAAAAAAAAATATGGGCGCTACGGTCAAGAGAAAAATCTTCTTTTCTAAGAAGTTACACCTCAAAGGAGAATGAATTGAAAACTGTCTGGATAGAACTTCAGCTGTGCCATGGTGATCTGCTCAATAACTGCCAATTGGTGCTGCCAATTTTCTGGTTCCTGTTCTTAGAATTAGTTTCTAGTCGTGTTTATCCATCACTAAAGAGAGCCTGTGACATCCATTTAAGGGTTGATGTTCTATCCCAATTAGCAATTTCTTCTCAAGGCTAAACATGTTTGTATCCAATATGTTCAAAGTGTCTACAATTTTCTTCTTAGTTAAATGATTGATTCACTTATCCCTGGGCTATTTGTTTTCACTATCTCTGGCTTCCTAGCCTTCTCAAGAAGAACAGAGTTTGAAGGGACCTTGGAGGTCATCTAGTCCAACCCCCTGCTCAGGCAGGAAACCCTATACCATTTCAGACAAATGGCTGTCCAGTCTCTTCTTAAAAACCTCCAGTGTTGGAGCATTCACTGCTTCCAGAGGCAGGTTGTTCCATTGGTTAATTGTTCTAACTGTCAGGAAGTTTCTCCTTAGTTCTAGGTTGCTTCTCTCCTTAATTAGTTTCTATCCTTTGCTTCTTGTCCTGCCTTCAGGCACTTTGGAGAATAGCTTGATTCCCTCCTCTTTGGGGCAGCCCCTGAGATACTGGAAGACTGCTATCATGTCCCCCCTCGTCCTTCTCTTCATTAAACTAGTCATACCCAATTCCAGCAACCGTTGCTTATATGTTTTAGCCTCCACTCCCCTGATCATCTTTGTTGCTCTTCTCTGAACTCTTTCTAGAGTCTCAACATCTTTTTTGTGTCGTGATGACCAAAACTGGATGCAGGATTCCAAGTGTGGCCTTACCAAGGCATTATAAAGCAGTACTAACACTTCATGTGCTCTTGATTCTGTCCCTCTGTTGATGCAGCCTAGCGAAAAATCAGACACTATGGCATATGCAAACATCCCAAATGGGTATTTGGTATAAGATGTTAGGAAAGATTTCCACCCAGCAATCTAATGAACCATTGACACACTAGGACAAATTTGGGATTAATATTTGAAATGCCAAGAATTGCTAATTCTTGAGATTTTTGACTGCAGAGACAGTAGTAGAAGAGCAGACAGAATCAGGGGGCAGAGTTAAGCAAGTCATTAGCCTAGAATCATTACATTCCCACTAAAGGTCTAAGTTCAATCCTTCTTGACTTCTATTAATGCTTTTCGTTGTTGTTAGTTGCGAAGTCGTGTCCGACCCATCGCGACCCCATGGACAATGTTCTTCCAGGCCTTCCTGTCCTCTACCATCTTCTGGAGTCCATTTAAGCTCACGCCTCCTGCTTCAGTGACTCCATCCAGCCACCTTCTTCTCTGTCATCTCCTTCTTCTATTGCCCTCCATCTTTCCCAGCATCAGGCTCTTCTCCAGTGAGTCCTTACTTCTCATTAGGTGGCCAAAGTACTTGAGTTTCCACTTCAGGATCTGGCCTTCTAAGGAGCAGTCAGGGTTGATCTCCTCTAGGATTGACCGGTTTGATTGCCTTGAAGTCCAGGGGACTTGCAGGAGTCTTCTCCAACACCATAGTTCAAAGGCCTCAATTCTTTGGTGCTCAGCCTTTCTTATGGTCCAACTTTCACAGCCATACATTGCAATTGGGAAAACCATGGCCTGGACTATACGCACTTTTGTTGGCAGGGTGATGTCTCTGCTTTTTAATATGCTGCCTAGATTTACCATAGCTTTCCTCCCCAGGAGCAAGCGTCTTTTAATTTCTTGGCTGCAGTCCCCATCTGAGGTGATCTTGGATCCCAGGAAGATAAAATCTGTCACTACCTCCATTTCTTCCCCATCTATTTGCCAGGAATTGAGAGGGCCGGATGCCATGATCTTGGTTTTCTTAATGTTGAGTTTCAAGCCAACTTTTGCACTCTTCTTCTTAACTCTTATCTAGCACCAATTTAGTACAAATAGTCCCCAACTTACAACCATTCATTTAGTGACTGTTCGAAGTTACAACAGCTCTGAAAACAGGGACTTATGATCATTTTTCACACTCACGGCCACTGCAGCATCCCCAGATAACTGGCTCATGGATATGATGGTCACCATGTCCTGAGGTCATCCTCTGACCTCCTTTTGTGACCTTCTGACAAGCCCCATTCACTTAACAACCGGGCTACTCACTTAAGAACTGCAGTGGTTCATCTCACAACGGTGGCAGGAAAAACCATAAAATGGGGCAAAGCTCACTTAGCAGACGTCTCCCTTAGCAACCGAAATTTTGGGGCTCAATTCTGGTTGTAAGGCAAGGACTCCTCGTATGGAACTTCGGTTGACCAGATCCTTGTCTATAGGCTTGAGCAAGAGATCAAGAAGATCGATCAACTTAAGGTGTGAGCCTGATCCTGATTCTTCAGGATTCTTCAGGCATGGCTGGCGGAGCCTCCATTTTGCAAAGTCTAAAGCCGGCCTTAACCTTTCGATTCGCGTTTGGTACCCAGGCTACATCGTGAAACACAGATGGTAAACTTCCGCCCCCTTTTGAGCGAGGGATGCTCACCCCATCCGAGGCACAGGAAACGTTTGCGGATGATGCGGTTCCGTAGCCTGCCCGTCACGGCCATGTAGGATTGCCAAGCTTCCGTCAGCACCCAGCAGAAGGAGGAGAGGAAGAAAAAGTGGAGGAAAGCAGCCACCAAGGTACAGATCACCTGGAGAAGGAGAGCAAAAGGGAGGGAGGTCAGCAGAAAGGGGAGCAGCAGACCAAGAGAAGAACCAGAATAACAGAGCTGGAGGTCTTCTAGTCTAACCCACTGCTTGAGTAGGAGACCCTATGCCATTCTGGACAAATGGCTTTCCAGACTCTTTTTACAGAATAACAGAGCTGGAAGGGACCTTGGAGGTCTTCTAGTCTAACTCACTGCTTGAGTAGGAGACCCTATGTCATTCTGGACAAATGGCTTTCCAGACTCTTTTTTTCCAAACCTCTAGGGATGGAGCACCCAAAACTATTGTTCCACTGATTAATTAATTAACCAGTAGGAGCACAGAAGAAGTTGAACTACATCTGGTCCAGTTTTGCAGGAGAATAATGACTCAGAATTATAGAATTGTTCCCTGGATTCTGCCACATAACTCAAAGTCTCCTGCCCTCCCAGTCTTAACTTACAGGTTAAGACTGGGAGGCAGCAGACATAATAATAGTAATAATAATAATAATAATAATAATAATAATAATAATAATAATAATAATGATGATGATAATGATGATGATAAAAGTTGGAAGGGACCTTGGAGCTCATCTAGTCCAACCCCCTGCTCAGGCAGGAAACCCTATACCATTTCGGACAAATGGCTGTCCAGTCTCTTCTTAAAAACTTCCAGTGTTGGAGCATTCACCGCTTCTAGAGGCAGGTGGTTCCACTGGTTAATTGTCCTCACTGTTTGGAAGTTTCTCCTTAGTTCTAGGTTGCTTCTCTCCTTGATGAGTTTCCATCCGTTGCTTCTTGTCCCTTCAGGTGCTTTGGAGGATAGCTTGACTCCCTCTTCTTTGGGGCAGCCCCTGAGATTCTGGAACACTGCTATCATGTCTCCCCTCATCCTTCTCTTTGTTAAACTAAACATACCCAATTCCAGCAGCCGTTCCTTATATGTTTTAGCCTCCTGTCCCCTGATCATCTTTGTTGCTCTCCTCTGTCCTCTTTCTAGAGTCTCAACCTCTTTTTTTACATCGTGGTGACCACAACTGGATGCCGTATTCCAAGTGTGGCCTTACTTTTAGTTATGCAGAAGAATTCAGGGAACAATTCTATAATTCTGAGTTTTGAAACCATCAGTTTCAGGTGACAAAGAAGCGATATATCACTGCAGACATCAAGAGCTCTTGAGTCAGCAGTTATCCTTGTTTGTTTGTATTCTACCTCTATTATTTTGGCAAATAACCCAAGGCTGCAAATATATCCAGCACACCTCCCTCCCTCCTATTTCCCTACAACAGGTGAGGTGAGTTGAGCTGAGAGTAATTATCCCAAAGTCACCCAGCCAGCTTTTATGCCTAAAGTGAGAGTAGAAATCACAGTCTCCTAGTGAATTGTCAAGGTCACCTAGCTGGCTTTCATGCATAATGTGGGAATAGAATTCACTGTTTTCTGATGATTGGCCTTGTAGAAAATCAGCCCCCCCCCCCCCGAGAAGGAAATATTAAAAGGGCAGAAAAATACATTTCCTTAAAGGAGCTTAAAGAGGCAGAAAAGCATGACCAGTTTTTCTTAATAGCCCCAAGTCTCTCTCTCCCCCCCCCCAAAGCTCTATAGAAATGCAGATGTAAACCATCCAGGAAAGTTGGAGGCCCCCAGCTAGAAGATTAAGAAGACAAAGATACCTAAAATCTACATACCCCACGCAAGACAGGACATAATAGTATTAACCCACAGATACCAAAAGAGCACAGACTCAGGTCAAAGTTCATGCCACAGGAACAGGAAGCAACTCCAAACAAAAGGTTCCAGAGGGTATAAAAACCCACTCCCTACATGTGCTCAGCCCTTTTTCTTTCTCTTTCTTCAAGAGCCATCTTTCTGTCTGGCTCTCCTCTTCAATAAACTGCAACCTTCTTTCTAAAGCAGTCGCCATGTTGTTTATCCCCGGCTTGGACTGAACCATGATGAAGACTTTTCTTCCAACAGCCTAAAGTCCCCCAGCTGTCTTTCATGTCTAAGATGGGACTGGAACTCTCCATCTCCTCGTTATTGGTGCAATAACACCCAGCTGGCTTTCATGCCTGAGGCAGGACTAGAACTCAAGAGTCTCTTGCTGATTGGCCCAAAGTCACTTAGCAAGCTTTCACGCCTAAAGTGCGACTAGAACTCACCATCTCCTGGTGATTGACCCAAAGTCACCCAGCCAACTTTCATGGCTAAGGCGGGACTAGAAATCAGAGTCTCTTGCTGATTGGCCCAAAGTCATTCAACTGGCTTTCATGCCTAAATTAGGACTAGAACTCAAGGTCTCCCACTTTGTAGCCTGGTTAACAAAACTGGTTTTATATTCCTTAGGAGCCCTGTATTTGTGATCATGGCTGGCTTTAAAAAAAAAAAAAAGTTTTATTGGTTTTTTTCATTTTACAAACAAGTGCTTAAGAAACAACGTGGTGGCAGGGCAATCAATTGTCCTCAAAACAAAGTCATACTCATAAAGTTCAGATTAAATCATTAAAAAAACCCTCTCTTTTCCCTCTAATGACATATTATTTCAGATTGATATATTTCAATACAACTAACTCAATCATAACAATCCTCAATAACCTTTCATCCAAATAAATCCACAAATCCAGATCCTGTGTTAAGCTTAACTATTTCAATTACTATGTTCCATATTTCTAATCTAAATACATAATTAACACTTTGGGAGTCTCCCCATCACCTTTTTCCTTAACATATTCAATAACTATTTATTAATATCATTTCTTCTTTTTTTCTTATTCTTCTTCCATTACAAAGTGACTATCAGTTCTAATTAAAAAAAATATTAGTTCAAATCAGAAACGAAAAAAAAGAACAAAGAAAAAACAAAAACAAAACAAAAAAAAAAAGAAAAGAGAAAAAATACCTTTCTATTTTTATTATACTTTATAATCTAACAATCAATCCCTCAATATCTGTATCAAATTTCTTCAACCTCCTCCCAAAATTACTCTCTCCAAAACATATTAATACATAGACAAACAACGTATTATTTTTTTTATTAAAAGTTTTAAAAAATTTATACACTATATATCCAAATCCCTCCCCCCCTCCCGCCCACTTCCCAGAGCTGATTACAGGGTTACAAATAAACAATCATAATCTAACTAACATTACCCAACTATACAAACAATCAAATCCATAACATGCTTGAACTCCTTTTCAAAATAAATATTAACAAATTAAATACAAAAATAATAATATAATTAAACCATAAAACTAAGAGTAATATAAATTCTACCATATTAAACTATTAGTAATAATCTGAAATTTACTCATAAGCTAGATAATACTTTTTAGTCTCATATTTATTATTAAGTTCAAACCTTTAATTAATTTTTAATTCAATCTAACCTCTTATTTAACTGTCTTGAGCCATAAATCAATCCATATCTAATAAGATGATTGGCTTGTTTTTAATGACCACCATAATCACGTGACATTTGCTGATTCATGGAAGACAACATATTGGGTCTACCTTCTCCACGAAAGTTGTAAGAGGCTTAACTAACGAACTAAGGTCCCTTTAATTCAGGAACCACAAATGAAACCTGCACCCTAGCACTCGCATTCTACATAAATACATTTATAGATGCCACCTTTTTTGAACATTTGACCTAAACGTTAAAGATGATTGCAAAAGGGAGATATTCAGATGGTTTCAACCATCTGCTCTCTCACTCTGTCGCTCATTAGTAAAACCGTCCTATTCCCTATCAAATATCTTCAACGGATTTTTAATAATAAAGCTTTTCCTTAAAATTAGAACAATTAGCACAAGTGCTGGATTTTTGCAATATTTACGCTGTTTTAAATTTGGTAAGGGTCAAGAATAAACCTCTACTCAAGGTTTCCATACTCAAGGTTTCCAATTTAGCAGAAATGGCAAAGATTTCTGCTTATTTAAAGGACCATACACAAGAAAAAATATATTATGGTATGGAGAAGATGGATAGATTTTATTCAGAATAAATATGGAACTTTAAAGTTCCATTTATTTTATGATTAATTTTTTTCTTTTCTTTTTTTCTTGAAATAATAATTATTTATAGAATTTTATAATAAATGATTTATAACAGATTTGTTCACATTATGATGATGATAAAGTTTAGAGGGAGTGAAGGGTTAAGTATGAATTTGTTTATTGTATAATTTTTTTGTTTTAAAAGTTAAAAAGTTAGATTTTGTTTGTTTTGTTTACAATAACCCTGTATTCTGCTCTGGGAAGCGGGGGGTGGGGTTTAGGGGAGTGGGGATGGGTGGGGTCAACTACCGTATATGCCGCCGTATTAGGCGACCCGGCGTATAAGACAACCCCCATCTTTATAGCCGGGCCGCATTCCTAGAACGTCGTCTTATACGCCGGAAACTACCAGTATTTCCGGCGTATAAGACGACTCGGCGTATAAGACGACCCCCGTCTTTGGCGCCGATTTCAGCGCTCGTGCAAGTCATCTTATACGCCGGCATTTACGGTAGGTTAGATAAACAGAAATATTAATGTATAAAATAGATAGAGTAATTTTGAGAGAGGTGCCGCTCAGGTATTTCCCCCTGAACTGTATCCAAAAAGGGATGAGAAGGGAGGAGGAAGGGATGGAAGGAAGTAGGATGGGAGGAAGGGAGGAGGGGAGAGAGGTGAAGAGAGGAGAGAGGGAGGAGGGAAGTAAGGAAGGAAGGTAGAGAGGGCAGATGAAGTCCGGGGGGAGATGGACGAGCGACACCTAAGGTTATACGTATGAATTTATTTCAAAGGTATTTTTTTATAATGTATTGAAAGTATTAAATGTATTGAAAAATGAAAAATAAAAAACTTTTTCAAAAAAAAAAAGAATAAACCTCTAGGACAGTGTTTCTCAACCTTGACCATTTTAAGGCATGTGGACTTCAACTCCCAGAATTCCACAGCCAGCATTGCTGGCTGTGGAATTCTGGGAGTTGAAGTCCACATGCCTTAAAATGGTCAAGGTTGAGAAACACTGCTCTAGGAGAAGAGAGCTCCACCTATTATGATATTTCATGAGATTTCCTAACCTATCTCACTGCTTTTTCTTCTGCTGGTAGAAGAGAACCTTTTTTTTTTCTACTCTCTGACGCAGGCAATAATCCTGCTTGATCAAACATGATTTAGTAGCTGAGAGTATGTATGGGGGAACCTCCCCCACCGAGTTTCTCATGATTGACATCAACAATATGTCTCTTTTTCTATACTCTTTTTATCTTCAAAGAGATTTGAAAATGGAAGGATGGAGGGTCATTGATGCACATAGAAACTGCACCTCTTTGTTAATGGAGTTTGGAAAAAACGGAGAAGATGTGCAGGCACAGATGAACAGAAATCAAATATTTTTTTTTATCCATACAGTAGCATTATTTATAAATGTTTAAGAATGAAGAGGGATCGCGCTGGCCCGCAAAAATAGGACAAGCTAGAAAGACCTTTTTCTAAGATTTCTAATGTTCAGTTGTTGTAGGGGAAGGAGTGGCAGAACCTGTGGGCGGAGTCAAAAGAGGAAACAGCTTAGAATCTCTATGTAGCCACAAACAAAGTCCAACCTTCCTTATTCTGTTGAGACTTATCTCAAAGGTGCTTTTTTAAAAAGGCAACTGGACTGTTTTTTCGTGGAGGAGAAGAAGAGGAGGTGAGGAGGAGGAGGAGGAGGAGGAGGAGGAGGAGGAGGAGGAAAAAGAGGACTGCGGGCTGTTGGATACTTCCTGAGCTTGGTAGTAGGGTTTGCAGATTGGAGGAGAAGAAAAGGAAAGAGTGGAGGAGGAGGAGGACAGAAGAAGAAGAAGAAGAAGAAGAAGGAGGAGGAGGAGGAGGAGGAGGAGGAGGAGGAGGAGGAGGAGAAGAGAGTAGAGAGAAAGACAGAGATGCAGAGGCTGAGATAAAGAGATTGAATAGACAGACAGATGATAGATAGATACTGTAGATAGATAGATAGATAGATAGATAGATAGATAGATAGATAGATAGATAGATAGTGTCAACGCTGTGACAATGGATGTCGACACTCTGACAACTGAGAATCAGCAGCCATTGTATTTTTGCTTTTAACGTGCCTTTTCTATTCTTTTACAGTTCAGATGTAGAAGGGGGGATGCGGTAAATGCTTGAGCTAAATGCTTAGCTAGCCATAACAATGTAGACGTGTGGGAACTCAAGGACATTATCTGATAAGGTTTTGGCGGGCTGAGGGGCCAGAGAGAAAAGCCCGGGATTTACGCTAATTGGGGAATATATTTTGATGACAGCTTTTGTGGGGTGGGAATTGCAATTTGTTACTTTGTTATCTGGGGGGAGAGAATCTCATTCTTGGGTTCAACTAGGTAAGTGCCGATACTTTGTTTCCTAAATAAAATGTTCTTTAAGGAAGAATTCTTGCTTTGAAGTTCTTTTACCAGTTTCATCTATTGCAGTGGTTCTCAACCTTTTTAATGCCGCGACCCCCAACCAGTCGTAAGTCGAGGACTACTCAACTGGTCTTAAGTCGAGGACTACTCAACTGGTGCAGCACCGTTTGCAGAATGGGACTTTTGGCGGGCTCAGCAGGGCAGAGACAGCCTGGACAATTCCTATTGGCTTTTGAAAGCCAATAGAATTAGACTCTATTCAAGAGAGTCTATTCTATTGGCTTTCAAAAGCCAATAGAATAAAAGGGAGTAGCACAGCCAAGGAAAAGGGGAAAAAAATGGCGGACTGCGTTGTTTGGCGACCCCCGTGAAATGGTCGTTCGACCCCAAATGGGGTCCCGACCCACAGGTTGAGAACCACTGATCTATTGGAACCATGACAGACAGATAGACAGACAGACAGATAGACAGAGAAATGTATATATAGATAAAGAGATAGAAGTAGAGAGAGATAACAAGATAGAGGCAGGGATAGAGGTAGAGAGAGAGATATACAGAGATAAAGAGATAGATATAGTTAATAGAGAGAGAAACAGACATAGAGAGAGAGACAGATATAGATTAAGAAATAGAGAGATACGGAGATAGATAGATAGATAGATAGATAGATAGATAGATAGATAGATAGATAGATAGGAAAAAAATTGATCTAGATATGCCACTCAAAATTATTTGGTGGCCTATAACTTGATTGATTGATTGATTGAATAAATGAATGAATGAATGAATGAGTGAATGAATGAATGAATGAAGCCATAACTCTCTCATACTGATTTTACCCTGAAGCTGAAATTTGGTTCCCTCTTCTACATATTTTCCAGTTTTATTACATCCTTTTCAAATGTTGTTACACTCCTCCACAAAATTGTCTAGGTTCTCGGTCCCATGGAGAACTTTAAACACATCTGTTCAGACATCGTGGAATATGCAGATAGGGCTGTTTTGGAGTATATATCCTATCTATTTTGATTCCTTTAAAAAAAAGGCATCCCAGATGCACATATTATGGAAATTACGAGTATCTGTTTTAAAAAAAAATATTTCAGAATTTTTTTCTTTAAAAAAAGAATAGTAGCATTTTAAAGAGCTGCAGTACAGTTTATAGACATGTGTATTTTCCTCCAATATAGAAGCAAAATTGAATGATCTAAGTGTTCGACATTTAAAAGATGAGAAACAACACTGGAAAATTTAATGTATCATTATCTTTGACTACCAGATGCTGATAAAAAAAAAGATGTGTCGTAGAAGTTCTCTTAATGAGAAAGTGCTTGCATGAATTATCTGTTTTGGTGGAAGTGATGCTAAGAGCGATAGACTGACTATTTAAATTGAACAGAACAGGAAACCTCTGGCAGACATGTGAGTGGTAATTAGCTCTCTTACTAATGAACCAAGCGTTTGCAATTTTGTTGTTGCTAAAAAATGAAATGCAAACTCATATTTTGTGAAAGGAAGGGGAATGTCCAAATCAGATTGCATATGAAATAATGGCTCCAATGCTCAGGGACACAGCTGAAGGAACACACCAGTAATCTGGAAGATTGGATAGGAAACTAAATCATATGAAGGCCAGCATTGGCGTATAAGTAACATCACTGCATGGATGATATTACCTAGTTGGGTAATGAAACGTCTGCAAGAAAACCACCAAGCCCAGAGAGGACAAGGGACTCCACAGTCCTCCTCCTCCCCCTCCTTCTTGGGTTAGTCTGAGTTGCAGGGGGATATGAGATGGTGAGCTGCGTTGCTGTTTGGCTGTTTGGCTTTGCATTCGTGGTCATGCCCCTGCAACTCAGACTAACACGAGCACAACAAAGCCCCCACCCAAACAGAACACTCCCCCATCCAATCAGAGCACAGCCAACCCCCCATCCAATCAGAGCACAGCCAAGCCCCTAACCAATCAGAACACACCTCCACCCAATCAGAACACAGCCAAGCTCCCACCCAATCAGTTCATACCCCCACTGGCAGTTAAAAGGAAGAAACAGCTAAGACCACACATTGCTCCTCGAAGCATGAAGCCGAAAACACCAGCCTGAAGATTATGAATGGGACTTCGTCGAAACGTCGCCAAGACACTTCCAATTTTACGCGGGAGAAAACCCAAATAACCAAAGACCTACAAACACACACACACAAACACACACACACACACACGTGTACGTATGTATGTATGTATATAAATGTATTGTCTCTTACATAGCTCAATACCTCTTATATCTCTTCGATCTCCACCCCCCACCTCGCTTTGTCTTCCCCCCCATCACTTTGCTTTGTCGTTGTAGCACCCTCTCCGCCTCATGTTGTTGCCAAGCAGACAGAATGGGCGGGTGGGCAGCTGCACCAGCTCTTAAGTAGGGCTTATTTTCAGGATAGGGCTTATATTTGGTGCAGACATGAAAAATCGGGCTAGGGTTTATTTTTGGGGTAGGTCTATTTTTGGGGAAACACAGTATCTCATATATATATATATATATATATATATATATATATATATATTAATTCATGCTAAATCTGGCATTTTTGTCCATCTATCCCATCTTTCTCAAGGACTTAGTATAGACATATCTTAATATAGTGTCTCTTCTTTGTCCTAATATCTCTTATATGTCTTAATATCTCTTATATATCTCATACGCTGAGGTCATTTTCTCCTTTGCAAGCAAAGAGATCAAATTCATTCAACTTGACAAATCAATCCTGTCCTTGCTTCATGCTTCAGGGCAGCACTTTCCAAAGAATGGCTAAAAGCATCTTCTCAGATGCCTTTGTGTGGAGGCATGCAGGCACGTCAGGATGGAGACAAAGCTTTAAGTGTGCTCCCTCCATTATGCGATGCACAAATGAATGACGTATATCTTTCCTAGTTTTGGACCCCAAAATCATTAGCAGAAGGAAAGTAAAAGAACTGGCCTCGAAGGTTTTAATTCCAGATGGGAGCAGAGTTAGAGTTACCTTGTTACGGGTTTGAGTTTGTCCAATCAGGATAAGAGCATTGGAAGATACAATGGAAAGGCAGAAATTGATCAGGATGACCGAACGTTCGGAGCGGATATACCTGCAAAAAGGGAACAAGGAAGCAGAAGGAGAGGGAAAGGGTGTCAAATTTTGACTTTCAATAGGACAGACAGCATGGTGTGGTGGTTAGGACAGTAGATTAGGATCAGGAATCCAACCTCAGTTGTAGAACTCCCCGGAACTTTGAGATAACCTCATCTTTCCGTTTAACCTAACTCCAAGGATTGTTGGGAGGCTGAAATTTGGGGAGGAAGTCCTAGGAAAGCCATTGAGATGTTGTGGAGGTAGATGAGGTAGACATCTAATGAAAGAAATTCTGCATCTACCTGCAATGTGGCATTAACTATCAGCTTCACCCAGTGGTGGGATTTAAATACGTGAACAACCGGTTCTCTGCGTGGATGTTGCTTCCAGAAGTCCGTTCTGGGTCAGGGCAACAAAAAAATTAGCTATCGGTTCTGCTGAAGTGGTGAGAACCAGCTGAATCCCACCACTGCCTTCACGTCACAAAGCTGCCTCACTGCTTTGTACTTACTGTATATGCCGGCGTATAAGGCGACTTCCGCGAGCGCTAAACTCGGCGCCAAAGACGGGGGTCGTCTTATATGCCGAGTTGTCTTATATGCCAGAAATACTGATAGTTTCCGGCGTATAAGATGACGTTCTAGGAATGTGGCCCGGTGATAAAGACGGGGGTCGTCTTATACGCCGGGTCGCCTTGTACGCCGGCATATACGGTAGGTAAAATTAAAGTTTTAATCAGGCTAATTCCAAAAATATATATTAATGTTCCTGGAAAATGAAATACAGTCTGCCTTTTTATCAGAGTTGCCAACAATATGGGTACTTTTAAATTAAGAGGTGGGGACTCAAGTTTCGCAAAAATTCATTGACTTCAACATATCATAGATATATCCAAGAGCCAGCTTGGTCTAGTAGTTAAGTCACCCGACTAGAAAGTGAGAGACTATGAGTTCTAGTCCTGCCTTGAAAATGAAAGCTGGCTGGTTGACTTTGAGCTAATCACCAGGAGATGGTGAGTTCTAGTCCCACCTTAGTCATGAAAGCTGGCTGGGTGACTTTGGGTCAATCACCAGGAGATGGTGAGTGCTAGTCCTGCTTTAGGCATGGAAGCTGACTGGTTGACTTTGGGCCAATCACCAGGAGACGGTGAGTTCTAGTCCTGCCTTAGGAATGAAAGCTGACTGGTTGACTTTGAGCCAATCATCAAGAGATGGTGAATTCTAGTCCTGCCTTGGGCACAAAAGCCATCTGAATAACTTTGGGCCAATCCCTCTCCCTTGACCCAACGCACCTCACTGGGTTGTTCTTGTAGGAAAAATAGGAGAAGGAAGGTATGTTGGACATGTTAACTGCCTTGAGTTATTCGTAAAAAGTTGGATACAAACAAACAAAAATAAATAAAATATAATTGTTGATTTACTTCTGGGTCCAATTCGAGGTGTTGGTTATGAGCTTCAAAGCCCTTCGTGGCATGGGTCCAGTCTACCCCAACGGGAATGACCCACCCCACTCACTCTGTCAGAATGGGGCTTTCTGTGGACCCACATCAGCCAAGGAATGTCTTCAGCTGGTAAGGTCCAGGAAGAAAACTTTTTCTGCTGTGGCACCCATCCTATGGAACATGCCCTCCATTGAGATGAAACCCTTCCCCATCCTGTTGGTCTTCTGCAAGAGCCTGAGAACTCAGGTCTGCCAATTGATCTGTGATCCCAAAGGGGTCGTTCAATGATGGAAGTGGTTGGTGAACCAGGAAGAAGATCCCCCCCCCCTTGTATTTCGGCTTTCTACTTATTTCATCTCCGTTCATTTTGATATTTAAAGTTTTAACATTTTGGTCCTTGCGTTTACGATGTGGTACGTCACCCAGAGTCACTTGACAGTGAGATGAGCACCACATAATTTAATCAATCAATAAATACATAAATAAATATCCAGCAATTAACTGCCACAATATGCTAAAAGCCATAGGATATTTCTGAACTATCCTTCAAAAATGAAACTGTCCCCCTTCACAGTAGAATTGCGTAATCTAGCACAGTGTTTCTGAACTTTAGCAACTTCTAGATGTGTTGACTTCAAGTTCTGGAATTCTCTAAATGCAAACGACCCCCAAAAACAAAAAAGCTCTGTTCATATTTTTTTAAGTGTCTAAATAAAGAGACCAGGATGTGAAGAATTCGGGAATTGCTCAATTTCTTTCTAGTTTTGCATTGATTTTTCACTGCTAAGGTCTAGCACAGAGTTTCCCAACCTTTTGGGACTGGTGGCCCGGAGTGGGTGGGAGTGTGGAATGTAGGCATGGTTTTGTCTGTGTGTGTGGGTGAATGCATGAGCGCATGCATGCGTGTCCATGAACACCCATCGCTCAAGTGATGGGCCCTGAGCATTGCCCGAGGGGGGCTGCAAACGCCCGTGACCCTCGTGGTGACTCTCATGAGTGGGGTTGTGAATGCCCATGATACTCGTGACACTTGCGCAAGTGGGACTGTGCTCGCTCAGCCACACAAACTGCACCGCCCAGCCACTCACACGGCCTGGTGACCCACAGGTTGGGGACCCCTGGTCCAGCAGCTGGTAGACCCAAGACCCAACCCTAGTAGGTTGAAGAACATCTACTTGTGATGGACCAGGCTAAGGATCTGTTGCTTTCTAGCTTGGCTTAATCGCTACCATCGCAGTAGCGATTAAGCTACCGCTTAATTTTCAGGAGCCCCTGCAAACTTTTTCCAAAGAGGAAAGGAAGTTGAGATACACGATGCTGAGAAGTCCAAGTCTTACCTCCAGACCGAGATATAAATGATGATCAGGAGAAGGAGGGTCAAGGAAGACACCCCACAGCCAACGATCAACGTGACCGAAGGGACGAGCACTTTTTCCGCATTCTGAAAAAAAGAGAAGATAGAAACGTGGAGACGCTCATGAGAGAACCTCTGTGGACCAACGTTTAATAGTAAGTACAGGAAATCCTTGACTGATGACCGTGATTGAGCCTGGCATTAGGGTCGTCTATCATGGCAGTCATTCAGCAAGTCACCCTGATTTTATAACATTTTTGTTAAGCAAGCGCCACAGCCATTATACGAACGTTGTGGTTATTAAGCAAATCTAGGATATCCAATGGACGTTTGTTGCCAGAAATCGTAAGCGCAGGCATTCCTTGACATACAACTGTTCATTTAGTAACCATTCGAAATTACGACGGCATTGGAAAAAGTGGCTTACGACCATTTTTCACACTTACGACCGTTACAGCAGCTCCATGGGGATGCAATCAAAATGTGGACACACTTGGCAACGGACTCATATTTATGACGGTTGTAGCATCCCTGGGTTATGTGATTAAAAATTCAGCAATTGACTCCTATTTATTTATTTTTTTAAGACAAATTTTATTGTTTTTTTATTTTTTACATCAAGACGATCAGGAAAACACCGTGGTGAAAGGGTAATCAATCATAGCACAACAAGTCATATATGTATAGCTAAAATTAATACCTTAAAATTTCCCCCTCTATTTCCCTCACATAATATAACAAATTTAGTTTAATCTATTTCTTCTTAAAATTCAATCAATCCACAAAATCATCCCTACTACATCTATATAAATCACTCCTGCTTTTAAGCTCCACTATTTAATTAACATATTCCAATTAATCTTAAACAAACATATTAATAAGACTTTGGGTATCCCTTCTACAACACATAATATTCCAAGAATAATATTCTAATATTTTCATATATATTCCATCTCTTAATTTAATACATCATTAATTAATACCCTTTCTTCTCTTATCATAGATCTCTCTAACTCTTCTGCTATTACAAAATAGTTTTCTATATAAACAAAGTAAAAACAAACAAACAAAAAAACCAAAACATTTCAACCTATTAAGTAAAATTTAAATCTCAACAAAATTATCTATCGTATCTAAAACAAACCTATTATTGCAGCAGTTATTATCTTACTACTTTCATTTACTCAATTAAATTGCAATTGACTCCTATTTATGACGGTTGCAGTGTCCGGGGGTCCTGTGATCCCCCGTTGTGACCGTCGGACAAGCAAAAGTCAATGGGGAGACAGATCCGTTTAACAAGCATGTTATTAACTTAAAAACTACAATAATACTGTGGGAAGAAGGGTGATAAAATGGGGCAAAATTCACTTCACAAGTCTCTCTCTTAACAACAGAAATGTTGTTATGGTCGTAAGTCGAGGAATGCCTTTAAATGCTGGTTTCTGGCAAAAAAAAAACCCCTCATAAACTATTTATCTGAAATGGTATAGGGCAGTGATGGCGAACCTTTTAGAGACCGAGTGCCCAAACTGCAACCCAAAACCCACTTATGCATCGCAAAGTGCCAACACGGCAATGTAACCTGAATACTGAGGTTTTATTTTAGAAAAAAACAACTCATACATTAACATCTTTTGTCTTAAAAGAAAAGCACAAGAAGCAACGGATGGAAACTAACCAAGGAGAGAAGCAACCTGGAACTGAGGAGAAACTTCCTGACAGAACAATTAACCAGTGGAACAACTTGCCTCCAGAAGCGGTGAATGCTCCAACACTGGAAGTTTTTAAGAAGAAATTGGACAGCCATTTGTCCGAAATGGTGTAGGGTTTCCTGCCTGAGCAGGGGGTTGGACTCGATGACCTCCAAGGTCCCTTCCAACTTTATTATTATTATTATTATTATTATTATTATTATTATTATTATAGCTTTCAATGATACAAACAGCTTTTTATTGAAAGGTAAAAGTGTGCATTTGGCATGCTTTTGAACAATTAATGTGATTTTTGCTGTTCTATGCCTGCTGATAATTTGTCTAACCTGGGCTCATACTTTGTAAGTTTGAGAGCAACACATGCAGCACTCAGGTCATCTGTTCGTCTGTTTTGATATCATTCAAAGCTGGAAACAGCTGCTCACAAGCATAAGATGATCCAAACAAAGTAAGGAAAGCAAACCCAAGGGCTTTCATTGACTTAAAATTATTTGGCAGAGAATTCCACACTATACTATAGGGCAGTGGTGGCAAACCTATGGCACGGATGCCAGAGGCAGCACTCGGAGCCCTCTCTGTGGACACATGTGACGTTGCCCCAGCCTTGCCTTCTCCCGCAACCTCCTCCTCTCCAGCAGCCCACTGAAGGAGAGTCGCCCCCGAGAGTGGCCCACACGGAGCAGCGCAGCCAAGGACATGGCAGCCAGGCAGCGTAGACAAGACTCTGCCCTCACGCCCCATCATGCTGTTGATGCTGCAGGGCGCGGGCAGAGGCTGTGGCCGCCATAGCGTTGCTGGGCTGCCTGGGCGATCTGCGGCGGGCCCTGGAGGCAGTGAGTGGTCCTGTGACGGGGCAGGGAATGGGGGGCAGAGCGGGAGTGGGGCACGGGGGTGGAGTGGGAGCGGGGCCAGTTTTGGGGCACTCGGTCTCTAAAAGGTTCGCCATCACTGCTATAGGGTTTCCTGTGTGAGCAGGGCATTGGACTAGAAGACCTTGAAGGTCCCTTCCGAGGTGGCGCAGCAGTTACAGTGCAGTACTGCAGGCCACTTTAGCTGACTGTGTTCAGCAGGTCAGCGGTTCACATCTCACCGGCTCAAGGTTGACTCAGCCTTCCATCCTTCCGGGGTAGGTAAAATGAGGACCCAGATTGTTGGGGGCAATGTCAATATATATATACATTGCTTACTGGTGTACACCGCTTAGAGAGTGCTTGCACTTAAAGTGGTATATAAATCTCATAAATAAATAAATAAATAAATCATCCTCATCCTCATCATCATCACCATTATTCACAATCATGTGACCGTGGGTGTTGCAAAGGGCATAAACACAATGATAGAAAGGAAGCCGTGAGAATTTTGAAAGTGGGTCATAGGCAGCCTTGGGAAAGTCTGTAGTAACTTCAAAACGGCCACTAAGCAACCCGTCATAACTCAAGGACTACATGTATTTCAATGGCTTACTTTTTTTCCCCCCTCCTCTCTCTTAATTTGAATATCGTACTTTTGCTGCCTTAGAATCTTGAATGCTGAATCTTCCTGGGGCTGATTTATTTTTCTTTTAGATATTGGGGAAATTTCGTTCAGCGGGAAGTTATTTCTGGCTGGTGAGATGCTAGTATTTCTTCTTCAGCTGAACGTGTCCATGTACTAAGAGAATGTCATATATATATATATATATATATATATAAAAATTTTAAAAATTAGCCCATTTCCAAGATTAATATCAAAATCCCTGGCAACAAAGCACAGGCGAGGATGCGTGAATCACACAGACTTCAATAGGCATTTTAATGCAAACATTTTGGAATAAAGTACAGAATCTTGGGATTCCCCCCCCCCGACAGAAACCATGATTTATCAGTGAGTTTCTGCAGGTGGAATCTCTTTGGATGTATTTCTTTGATATGTAAATCTTATTGAGAGTGTTGTAAGGTAAAATATAGGTATTCCGCGACTGACGACACAGCTGAGCTCCAAAATTTCCTTGGCTGAGCTAAACATTTGTTAAGAGAATTTTGGAATGAGACCACTCGTCGCGGCCACTTTGCCACAGCCAATTCACTGTGGTCAACTTACCCGGGCCAACTTGCTGTGGGACAATTCAACAATTCAATTTCATTGTTTCATTATTCATTATTCAATTTCTTCCTCCTCCTCCTCCTCCTCCTCCTCCTCCTCCTCCTCCTCCTCTCCTCCTCCTCCTCCACCTCCTCCTCCATCTCTTCCTCCTCCTCTCTATAGACCCCATTCCCTTCTAGTACTGATGATGTTACCTAGTTGGGTAATGAAGTATCTGCAAGCAAAGAACCAAGCTCAGAGAGCGCCAAGGAGCCCCCAGTTCAATCCTGCGCTATAAATATTCTCTTCCCTTTGTAGAGATATGGTAAATATGATAGAGATATGCCTCAGATCTCCATCCCTCCTTTAACTATGCATAACTAATGCCAGGATAGATATTAAAATCTCCTGTCTGAACTGGACCATACTAAGTCATTCTTCTTTCTCTTTTCCTCTAACTTGGCATAGTTAGGTCCTCCTTTCTCCTCTGCTGGTACTCTTTTCTTCCCTCCATCCCTAACCAGTAGGCTCTTTCAGTGGTGGGATTCAGCCATTTTGCACCACTTCGCAGAACCGATAGCTAATTTTTTGTTGCTCAGGCCCAGAACGGACTTCCGGAAGTGGCATCCACACAGAGAAATGGTTGTTGACATATTTAGATCCCACCACTCCTTCCTTCCTTCCTTCCTTCCTTCCTTCCTTCCTTCCTTCCTTCCTTCCTTCCTTCCTTCCTTCCTTCCTTCCTTCGGTGGGATTCAGCCAGTTTGCACCACTTCGCAGAACCGATAGCTAATTTTTTGTTGCTCAGGCCCAGAATGGACTTCCGGAAGTGGCATCCATGTAGAGAATCGGTTGTTCACCTATTTGAATCCCACCACTGGGCTCTCTCCTTCAGAACTCAACCCTCATCAACTTCAGGAGAATCTTTCAAATATCTCCTTCCATCTGGCCCTTGCAGGAACAGAAGGTTAAGGCAAGGAAATAATTTCTAGTCCTGACTGATCTCTGTTCCTTCATGCTTGACTCGCTTCACGTACACGTCAGGAATCTGCATGTCACATCCTTTCCCCTCCTTGGGCAACACTAACAGGGAAAGTAGATGTGACATTTCCAGAGCAGCCATAATCCTCTTCCTTATGTAGTCCAGATTTCACAGACTGGAATGCTTACTAAACCAAAGGATGCTTGAATGGTTGATGGAATTGGGTATGTCCAGTTTAATGAAGAGAAGGATCAGGGGGGACAGGATAGTAGCCTTCCAATATCTCAGGGGCTGCCCCAAAGACGAGGGAGTCAAGCTATTTTCCAAAG